AATTTACTTAAATCCTAGCTATAAAAAATACAATAAAATTAGCCTACTTAACATTACAAACACTATAACAACTAATTTTTAAATATAATTAGCTATACAAAAAAAAAGAAATTAGCATTATATAAAATATATATTAAATACCTATGAACATGAGATGTGGTCAGTTCGAGTAATGTGAAATAAATTCCTCGTAATTATATTAAATAAATCTTATCGTGTACTCATAGAAAAGCTCCAATCTACTAATTATCTAAAAATGCAACACACTCTGTCTTAAATATTTTTTATCCAAAACAACAAAAGTAACACTCTATCAAAGATAACACAAGTAATATAAACTTCTTTAAAAACATTTAAACTTTTCTTTGCGCTTCATTACAATTATAAAAAATTCATTATATTTCTAGTACCATGTATAAAAACGGACAAATACAGTTAGAAAGAAATAAGAAAATTCTTAAGAACTATATTAATAATACATTAGGAAACAGTAAAAGCTTTTAAAAATAACCAGTGTGTAATCTATAAAATCATAACGTAACATAATTCTCTCATTTATTTATTTTAACTACATTATATTTGAATTTGATTAAAATCTCCATCAATATCATACTTTATATAGTTATATTTATTGTAATTTAACTTAAAGATGCATGTACTAGAAAAACAAGTTTTCTAAAATGGTTGGCATCTTACTTTTGGAAAATTCTTAAATTACACATTAGCATCCCAGAAATTTAAAAACAATTGGTGATTTAATATACTACCTGATTCTTATGTAAAACATCAACAAATTATAATTTATGTACATATTTGATCATCAATTCTACATACTTCCTATTATATTTATTTATAAGCCAAATTTGTTGGTGTTTATAATATTATGTTGCTCTTTCTAAAAGAAAAAAAAGTAACAAAAAATAATGCATGTCATGTTTTTTCATCATCGCTATCATAGGAAGTGCTGCTTTTCAAAAATTACTATATTGATATCTAATATAAAGGATATATAGTTTTCAGAAAAAAGAGTATAAAAAACACATTTCTTAAACTCTATTGCATTTATACTGTAATTATATAACAATAAGATATTATTTTCCTCAGCAAATAAATCATTAATAATAAAGAGTACGTCAGCACTATAGAAAATACAAGTAGGTATTTACCTACAGACCTAGTACCTACTGAGTATTTAGTACTTGTCCACGTATCATGCTGATTCACATTTTTACGAAAGTTAATTTCCTTTGAAAAGAATCTTTTTCATAGTTATTGCAGGTAAATTTTTAAACAGAAACAAGAGCTATAATGACTCTTCTTTATCAATTAAATCCAAATTTTAAGCGGGCTTAAAATAAGTTAAAGTTCCTATAACATCTGAAATACTAAAAATTTCTACTTTAGAGTGTCAATATTGTCATTATATATTGATAAGCTCAAAATATGAAAAAATTATGCTTAACACCTTCCATATTTGAGTCAAAAAATAAATTTGATTTTCCGAGACTTTATGAATATCAATGTATACATGGGAATGCTGCTTCTTCCACCATATATCCAAAGCACAAATAGGATGAGCAACTGGTTACTTACTTAAAAGTAACTGGATGACTGCGGGTACTCTAGTGACATTCCCCTCACGAAAAGTTACAGTTTCAAGCAGCTCCTTGAGTAGAGGTAGGGGGGAACATTGTTTTCGAATTACTGGCGTGAGGGGAGTAAATTACATAGATACCACTGACTTACTTCATTCATCATAAATAACTAAATCAGAGATATCGGACTGCTTCCCCTCAAGCTAGTGACTCTAATCAGCGGTCTCCTACTATCTTTATCCGAAGAATTGCCGGAGACTATACTGTCTATATGAATTTATTATTATGATTGAATTTATTAATTTTTTATTACTTTAATATGTAAGCAGCTGTATGTAAGTAGTACTTAGTATTTAATACAAACAGATGAAAGTAAATAAGTATGGAGAATGTAACTCTCACTGACAAGACCGTGAGGTAAAAGATCCTAGAGAGCTTGCGAGTTCCCAATTCAACGTCTCTGAACTGGGTACTTTAAGTACGTCTTTCTTGTTGTCCTCCAATGACATGGCGTTTCAGAAAAGGACCTCATATAAAGAAATAGAATCAATTTCATTTAGCTTAATATTCGAGAGATAGATAATAAAACTTAAACCTAATTGACATAAGTATATAATACAATTTTCTCTAACACCCCAGTAGTACTAAACCTATAAACCGAACTTAATACTTATATCTCTTAATATTACCTATGTTACTATACATGACTTAGAAATATGAAATTTTGTTTATTAAATTTCGTTCATTTTACAATACATTTGCAACAAAATTAAATTAAGTTAAATTGAATTAGATTAAATGAAATTAAATTAAATATCATCGCCCTCTGGTTTTCAGCGCCCTCTTCTTTCCTAACTTATTTAGATGGCGCTAAGGAGATGTTATGAAACGCAAATTCGAGTATCCTATCTATTCCCTGTCAATTGTAACTTCCCCTCAGATTGATTCTCTTCGATTTCGCTGATCTCAAATACTCAAAATCCCCTTTGAGATAATTCTTATTGCCTTCATTTACCTGGAAAAGGGTAGTTCTGCAGTTGCACGTGTATTTAAGTAAGTTAAAGAAGAAATATCATTACACCTTTCCAATAATTTCTTATTTTTGATACAACTGGAACCATTGCACGAATATAACATTTTTATAGATTTCAGCCATCGTGGTCTCATTGCATGACCTTAACCTTAGAAATAATAGACTATATAAAATATGTATTTTTTTAATACGAATTTAAAATAATATCTACTCTTTTAAAGTATATAGTAACTATAAATTGTGATATAAAATGGTATATTTAACAAAAGACGCCATTTAATGATGAACTGCCAACCAAAGCTTTAAAGCTAAATGTTACGTATGTCACATTCATATTGTAGTTCGCCTGACCTTATAATGCTATGAAATGTTTCGGTTAAGAATATTTTTAAGTACAGTTACCAATGATATATTGTACATTCATATGTACAATTGAAATAGATTTTAAAATTATATTACACCAAGAGTTTTTCTGTGCAGGAAAAATATTTTGGCAATAAATATACCACAAGTAATGTAACGGAAATTCATATAAACGTATCATGAATATGACCTTCTTTTCGAGTTACCACCTGTTTAGGTTATAATTTTAATAGCGCCAAACGTGTTACAAATACTTTATCGAAATTAAACACAAAATGTGAATAATTTACGATATAAGTAATACGTGATTGTAATTTTTCCAAAATTTATATTATAAAATGTAACAAAAAAATAGCAAGCTTAGATGCACGTATACAGGGTGTTCATAAAGTCGAGTGTGCAATCTGAAATAGTTGTAACTTTCTAAATATATATGACGGAAAGAATTTGTAAAAAAGATTAGAAAAAAGGAATATTTATATTTTTTACTGTTCTTGTTAATTTTCAACATTTACACTTTTTATTGTTCTGATTAATTTCCAACATTTACATTTTTTATTGTTCTTGTTAATTTTCAACATTTACATTTTTTATTGTTGTTAATTTTAAACATGTCCACCTTTGTTATTAATACAAAGAATAATATGATCTTGTAGTTTTTAGAATACATTTTCAAGCTGACTTTTAGTAATACTTGCAACCACATCACTTATCCTAGCTTGTAAGTCTTCTAACGATCAAGATTTGGTTCAATAAACATTAGTTTCTTAAAAGGACTATTAGTTTCCATTAGATTTCTTTTTATGGGAATATGCAAAAACCAATGTTTATTCAAGTAAACCTTAATCTTTAGAAGATTTATAAGCTGGGTTAACTAATGTGATTGCTGGTATTACTGAAAATCAGCTTGAAAATATTTTCCAAGAACTACAGAATCGTATTATTTTTTGTATTAGTAACGATGCTGGACATGTTGAAAATGAGCAAAAACAATAGAAAATGTAAATGTTTCCTTTTTTTAACCTTTTTTACAAACTCTTTCTATCACACATATGTACAAAGTTACAACTATTTTAGATTGCACATAGATTTTATGAACACTCCATATATATATTTTTTTTATAATTATTTGAATTTATTACTTTGTATTATTAATTGTTTTATTACAATGGTTCTTAACTTGGGGTGCATGTACTCCTGGAGGTGCATGAAAGCATTTCTAGGGGTGCGAAAAAAGTTTCTAAACTTTTGATTGAAATAAAAACAAAAGTCAGAAATTGCTTAAATGTAAGTGATGATTTACACATGGCTCTTTCAGAAAAGTTTTATTATGAATAAACAACAACGTAGGCATTATAAATTGATATAGTGTTTTATATGTATATGTAAATGTATGTGTTTATTTCTTAATAAATAAATTATCTTGCAATGGATATAATTTCCTAAATAATGAAATAGAAACACATTTTTCAAGGGGGTGTGAAAATTATTATTTTTAGACTCAAAGAGGTGCAAATCACTACAAAGGTTAAGAACCACTGCTTTAGTACAATATATCAAATATAGCATTAGGGAAAACTTTACATACAGTAAAAGTCAATTTGTCAATGCAATGTTTGAATTAAGAACATGTCTTTTTATGGCATACTTATTAAGATTTCTGCAATTTCAGAAAGTATTGTATGAGTCAAAAAATAGAAAAACCAATATTATCGGGTCAACGCATAAAGACCAGAAAAAGAGGTATATTTAGAGAATTATAAATTTATGTAACCAGGACTGGAATATAGGGTAAAACTGGTAATATTTTATTTTTAGATGAAAAAGAAAAGTATGATCCAAACGGATTTCGAGATGCTATTATACTTGGTTTGGAAAAGGCTGGTAACGACCTAGATGCGATTTCAAAGTACTTGGATGCAGCTGGTTCTAAATTAGATTACCGTCGGTATGGGGAAGACCTATTTGACATCTTAATAGCTGGTGGCCTTTTGGTTCCAGGCGGTTTTATTGTACAAGATGGTGATAAACCAGTTAAAACTTCTGCTTGCGTCTTTGAACAACCAGAAGATATGGAATCAATGCGGAATTTTGAACAAGTAAATTATCTCTTGCGATACAATATTTAGAATTTTAGAATTTTAAATATCATTTTACTTCTAGGTATTTGTCAAACTTATGAGACGTTATAAATATTTGGAAAAAATGTTTGAAGACGAAATGAAAAAAGTATTGGTTTTCATGAAAGGATTTTCTCCTAAGGAAAGAATAAAATTGGCTAGAATGACAGCTTTGTGGATTTCGAATGGTTCTGTACCACCTTCAGTTCTTTCTGTTTTAATCAACGAACATCTTGTCAAGGATAATTTAGCACTAGACTTTTTATTAGAAGTCTTTGTTACTTGGAAAGATGAAAAGGGTTTATCTAGCTTAATGACAGCATTGAAAAAAGGCAATATTGAAAGAAGGTACACAAATATACAGTACAGTGTATTATTGTACCCTTTGAATTTTTATCTTATGTTCACTGTATTAATTTTTCTCGATTCATAGGTTAATGGAATTTGTACCACCCAATAAACGAACAGAGGAATATTTTAGATCTGTATTTGAAGCTGTTGGTCTTGCAGATATTGTAAAATTACATAAAGCTCAAGCAAGTCAGGAAGCAAAACGAGATTTGCAACAACTTTTATTGGATGATTTAGCTGATAATCGTCCTATGAAAGATATTATACTTGATCTCAAAGAAATGGCACAAAGAAATGGCATTCCTGAACATGAAGTTATTGGTCTGGTAAATATAAATTTAATATTACAAAGTTATTTGTTTCATTCGCAATTCTGTTTTAAAATTCGTACACCTGAAAATGTGAAAGCAATAACACAATATGTATTAATATCGCAGTGCCTTTAAGCTTGATACTTTTCAATTCTCGTCAAATTTCTAAATGTCCATTATCAACAATATGCTTTGTCTAAAATTTTGTAATAAGAATCTAATTTCCTTTATTATTTAATTCATAATATATTTGGATTTATTTCTATTGGAAAAATATCTTCAGTCAATTAGCAATGCATTATTATAATGTTGGTAACTCAAAAATTTGAATTTGACTAGTAAATACTAAATAAAAATGGAATTCCATGACATATGCAAACTTCGAAATAATGTAAACTTTCAACTGTTGTTTATTAATGAAATTAAATTTTTGTAATTTATGATTATGCTAAGATAGATTATGCTATGTAAGAAATCATAAGCTTAGTGATGTTGCGATAGTATCCGTATATAATCTATACATTACATGAATATAGTATACTTGTGTGCAGGTTTCAAATTAAGTTTCAGAACCTCTTTTCGTAAAACATCCATTGCTAGCGGACTTCATTTCAAACAAATGAAACGTCCAAAGGCAAACATTTTTATGGATTTATAAATATAAATATATTATTTAAAATTTAGCATATAATTTTTTCGATATTTCAGTTATTTAATTTTTTATAAACATTTGAAGCTAATTTTTTGGGGTGAAAACAAATTTTGTCACCTCAAATGCTTGGCATTTCTATAATTAAAATTTTGGAAAATCCGTATACATTACATTTTAGATAATATATTTCTATTTATGAATCCACAAAAATGATTGATAAATGTCTCAGCTGTTTTCAATCGAGTCCACCAATAATAGATGTTTTGCGAAAAGGGGTCTGAAGCTAGCGAAAAACTGCGCCATTTTGTAACATTTTGGCTTAGAAAAGATATAAATATAAAGTAGAAGATCACAGTTATACAACCAGAAATTTTCACTTAAAACAACAGTTATTAACAAAAAAATTCTTAAAGTTTACCTATGTTTAAGACGTCGCTAGATGGTGTCCCCCTTCAAGTGAATACTCTATACTTGTACACAGTGTTTCCAAGTTATATGTCACGACCACCACCTCGTGATTCTACATTTTCGGTTTGATGTCAAAAGATGTAAGGAAGTGACCACAAAATTCATTCTGACCTTGAAAAACAAGAATTAAAGTATTTTATTGTTGCATTGTATTCCACTTATCGCGGAGTAATAAATAGTCTAATAGAAATCGTGGGTCGATGTGGTGATTGCGACATATAACTTAAATACATCCTACATATTATAATTATTACAAAAATAAAATAAACATTAATCTTAATTTGTAGATTTGGGTTGTTGTTATGGGTCAAGCCGAATGGAACAAGAAGGAGGAACTGGTAGCTGATCAAGCACTGAAACATTTAAAAGTATATACTCCACTGTTTGATGCTTTTACAGTCACTGCCAGATCTGAGCTAGCACTTCTCCTTAAAATTCAGGAATTCTGTTATGAAAATATGAACTTCATGAAAGTCTTCCACAAAATTGTTTTACTATTTTACAAAAGTATGTTATATGAAACAATATAATTTTATATAGGTTTTACAAAAATGTCTTTGTTTCTAATATTGTATTTTGATACAGCGGATGTAATATCAGAAGAAGTGATTTTAAAGTGGTATAAAGAAGGTCATTCTGTCAAAGGAAAGCTGCTTTTCCTTCACCAAATGAAAAAATTTGTAGAATGGTTACAGATAGCCGAAGAGGAATCTGAGTCAGGAGAAGAGGAAGATGGTGAAGAGGAAGAAGAAAAGCAACAAAAGTAATTTAATTTTATTTTAATTTAATTAGGCTCCATAAGAAAGCTATTTTTTGAGTTTCTTAAATATTTATTTTTACTCCAAATACAATTATTGTACAATGAAAGTAACGTCGAGTAGAACACTCTATAACAAAATGAAAAGCAAAAATATGGAGGGGGAAAATCAATAGTTGTCTTGTGGATCCTATTGTTTATGATTTCTTATTTATTCAATTCATTATACTTCTTTCATATTCCAGGATAACATAACCTTTATTATCGGAAGGTAATCTTTGGATTTTATCCAAAATTTAAAAAATGAATTAGGCATAAACTGCAATTGGATTGTACTGACAAATAGAAATTTTAAAAACCAAAGTTTGTATTATTGCGAGGCACAGTATGACGAAACAAGTACATAAAACTTTTTAATTGTTAATAAACAGGAATCGACATTACTGGCATCCAATTAGCGTGAGAGATAAATTGTAAATTTGCAATGTCCTTAAATTGTATTACTTTAAGAAGAAATATTTTGTGTTACATTTTTATAATACCGCAACAAAATATATACAGAATAACAAAAAAGTAATCGAAGATTAGATCTTTATCCCTGTGTGTGCAGAATTTTTAGACCCTCTTTCTTTGTATGAAAATATTGTATTAGTTTGTAGAAAATATATTGTCAGGTGATGTTTAATATTTGAAGTTTTGGTAAATCCTAACTTCCTATAATAACAAGTAATAAGTTCATATGTATTAAAAATAATGTATACCGTAAGCACTACATAAAAAATTTTATTCTTTAATATTAAATCACAATTTAACATTAATTTTTAATTATCAATATATTAAGTCATTTACTTAATACAATTATTTTATACTGTTAAAAATGTACT